AAGCGGGTACACGGAGTTGGCGTGTCGAGCCTGTCGGCACCGGGTGCGGTAGCACTCCACGCCACCTTGCGGCCGTGGTGACGCTCGTGGAAGCCGTTGAACTAGGTGAGAGTCTGACAATCGACGTCCTCCACGAGTACTCGCTAATGTATGAGCCAGGAGAGTTCGCCAGTAGCACCTCCGGTATCAGAGGACCGAGCTTGCCCTCTCGCCCTTCGATCGCTCAGCATGCCATTGAATGGCGGCGACAAATAGCAGGAGAGCAGTGCGAGCTGGAGAAGACATCGCCGGCGCGAACATAGCCGGATATCTTTATCGGGCGCTGTAATACACCCTTTTGAAGCTCTCGGCGCTGGATGCGGGAGCGCTCTGCGCTCTGCGTCACCTGTCGGGCGCGGTGATGATTATGCAAGCCCTTGAATCAGGTGAGACTCCTCTTGAAATGCCGCTCGAACGACTTCTGATGTTCTCCATGGGTGCCTTTCTGTAAGCCGGCGGGTATTCACGCCACGGCCTATGTGTCTGTTGTCTCTTTCACCGGAGGAGCTCTGTCGGGACATCTCGTTTACACGCGGAGTACACGCGAGGCATCGCGTTTACTAGGTACTTGCTGTGTACGTATTGCAGCTACGCATGTTATTCTCGTTTACCTGCGTCTGCTAATGGAACAAAACTAGAATACAACTCCCCGTGGTACAGCGTCATATGTCCAGTCATCTCTACTCGTCGTCATGCAGTGCCGTTGCTAGGACTTGTTACTCTCGAAAGGCTTCTTACGGACAACGTCGTGAGCTTGTGCACCCTGAGTCGGAGGTCTTACACCCGGGCACAGTCTCCCGTCAAGACAAACTCTGAAACATCCAACTTATTCGGGTTTCGCAGAAGAAGTCTTCGGAAACTGGATGCGCCGTCGAATGCGACAAAGTACGAGATTTGCACATTATCATGGCTCCCTTTCTGACAGCTGTACATATAGCTATACCTCGCGTCACGTATGTCCCCACCCGGACCATTGGCATGCGGAGCACCCACACCGTCCCGCGAGATTGTGCCTTGAGTCTCAGAGAAGAGAGAGCGCTGTCTCGGCGCTACCGCGCCTTCAGGGCTATCCTTCATGACCAGACACGCCTAGATCAAAGCGTCTCTTGGACGACCCGACGAATGAGGGACTTTGCTACAACGACTGTATTCGTCATGTCAGAATTGCGACTACCCTTACCCGTAGAGGTGAAGAAGCACACACTTCCTCTATTACTGGCACTGATCGTATGCCCAGGTTATTGAGGGTTGGTACCTGCGCACGCACGTCTGGGTGGAGCTTCACAAGTCCACGGGCTGTAGAGGGTGTTCTCGCGATACCGCCGCTCGTGCTCGCCATCGGCGCGCCGAGATCGGACGGAATGTGTGCTACTGAAGGTGAATAGGCATAACCTTTGTCCGGCGCTGTTGTACTGATTTCGGTACATGATAGATACTGTGGCGCCACTCAATAGGTACATTCTTGTCCTAGGGTTCTCATAGCCAGCCCGACGGGCTGCAGTGCGCATCACCCACGTCTGTTTCGCCACTAACGCCTAGGTCGTCATAATTATCAGTTGACTCCTAACGTGTATGCATGCCATCAATAGAGACATGCTTTTGTGATCGTTATGCATTCGGCCGGAAAAGTGTCGTATAATTCGCTGAAGGTGTAGAAGGCACTTCAAACTCTGCATGCTTATGCGTCATATGTTCAGGGACGGGGACCGCGGCAATCTCGACATCTTCCCTTAGAATTCTTCAAATATTTTGTAAGAGATCAGTTTGACGGACAATACTGATCACCCAACGTGTGGTCAAATTCCTTCACGAGCGCACTGAATCCTTAGTCGCACATTGTTGGTGTATTATTAGGTACTGCGGGTTGCAACCTGGACTCCAGCACCCGCTTCCCCGCCTTAGGGCACTCGCAGCGATCTCGGACGGATGGGGCTTCCAAGTTGCGAACAACGGACGAATGAAGCTCGTGGTAATCAAGAAACCTCCTTGGGGCAATCATGTAGGGTAGCTAAGCCTTCTTCGTCAATGGCGTTGCCCTCACTCATGCCTCGGCGCTATGACCCTGAAACGGGACGGTAGCTGTCTCGAGATGAGGTGACGGACTGGTTGCTCTGGAAAGTGTCTGAGTTGAATAAAAAGCGGCGACCTGTCGCATCTGATACTTCTGCCGTCAACACTCACTATGCCCTCGCCAGCTTCAGTGGGCACCAAGCGCAAACGTACATCGTCTTCAGCTCCCGCACAGCATACCGCTCGCAAGCGGCGCTCAATCATATCCTTTTTCAAGAACAAACGCCAGCGCCGTTTTCTGCTTGCCTACGTTCCCATGCGGCAGAAAGCCAGGGAGGAGGACTGGGAGGCTGCGAACTCTGTAGATTGGATGGTCTGCGATGAGTTTGCGAAGGCCTTTCCTACTGCTATCACTCGCGCAGGAAAGATGTCGGGCTGGTGGGGAACTTCAAAAGCCACCCCAAAGTTCTGTCGCGCTGAACTTAAATTGGTGAGATGTTCTGAGCATGTCGTCTGATAGAACTAATCTGTGCGATAGCGAATCACCATCTTCATGGTGGGCGAGTTGTATACTACAATCGAGAGTTTGGAGGACGAGGGTGTATGGGTCTATCACTCGGACGGCCCAAAGGCGTAGGGTCCGGATTCGACTCGGAGGCATTCAACTGTGGGACTGTGATATATTTATTTACGACCTCCCCATGTGTAACATGCAGAGTTATGTTGAGAGTTCGATGTAACATGCCAAGATTGCGAAAGTTCGCGAGGAGTAGTCTGTACATTGGAGACGAACTCTATATCGATTGTCCAGCATGGGTTCAAGGCAAGGATACCGATACCACGCATGGACGACAATGGACTAACATTCATGAAGACTTGCCCCTTCGAGCCGCAGAATCATACACAGCCGTAGTGGCGGCGGCATACTCGCCATAAGATTTTTGAGTCCTACTTCAAAGTATCCGCAACCGGAAGACACGCTGCGCCCTCCACATCCTATCTCCCTCCCATTGCACACTCGTGTGGCGCTCCCGTGCATCGCTTCTCACCGCCGCTCGATACGCGGCATGTTGGATTCGCCTTAGACGTCGGAACTCCGCTTCCTACGATCAGTCAGCTTCAACTAGCAAAGTCATAATGCAGACACGTACGTCTGCGTCTGGCGTAAACATCGGTTGAGGTCGAGGTCCTCACCGGACTCGCCGGAACGCGTTCGTGATACTGGGCGGTCTTCTCGCAACCACAAGTCGACAGGCCACACGATCAGGTCGAGAAGCGACAAGAGGTGTACGGCAGCCTAGACAATGTAGTAAGTTCGAGAGAATAACAGGCAATGAGTGCATGCTCACATACCGTGTATGGTGGGGTGCACAACAGGTCGTAAGTGATGGGTATGGTGGAAAAGACATCCTCTCCCCGAGCAGAGCCGATCATGGCGCGAAGGTAAAGCCCCAGCCAGAACCCACCCGAGCAAAGTCTGTCGTACAACTCTCTGGGCAAGTTCGTGGCGTGCGCAATGACGCAAGCGGACACCATTGCGAGGATGTTTGGGGCCGGTACACCGCGAAAGGACGCGAACAGGGAGGGGCGCTGTGACGGGCTCCAGGCGTGCACGCACGAAGTCGAGCTTGGGAAAGGCCCGGAGTAGGCCCGTCAAGGCGGTCGGGCGCGTGGTGTCGATGAGGGCGAGCATATCTACCCTGAACGCGCCCAAGCCACTCGCCGACGTGCCCATCGAGAGGCCGATCAAGGCCAACAGCAAGCCACGAGCATGCATGCAACCGACGAGGGTCGTAAGATCCTAACGATCTACGTCAGAGAGCTAGTGATAGATGAGTCAGTACGTCGAACAGCTGGGTAGGCATACGAGAGCTACCTGCCAGCCAGTCGTGATGCATCATGGGAGCCCTAGCGACGAGGGCGTGACGACGTATCACAGAGAGCGAGTACGCATGCACCGTGTACATGCGCGCCCGATACGATGTGACATTTGGGCTGACGACGTCGTCAGCATCTGAATATCAGCAATATAATGACCCGATCAACCTACCATGTGTAGAGTGTGTCGAGCCTGCACATGAATACGTCGGGCTTGTCACTGGAAACGAAGTCGACAGTGTCCGCATTGGCCATCCGCGCCAGCATCGCCGCTGCTATATCGGGAGTCTGGAGGTCGCTCCTTGGCAATGAGCAACTGATACAGGAAGCGAAGTCTGTGACGTACCTCTGTCCGTTGAAAACCACGATCCTCGACCATCCTATAAGCGACTGCACGAATATCAAGGGTCCCGAGCGCAGTGCCCAGCGCACGGGGTGGGAACAGGCCGTCAACGACAAAGTAGACCGCTGCGGCTAGGCCGAGGAGCCAATTCATGCGCGACAAGACACGCGCACGAGTGTGCTGGACATTTCCACCAGTAAGCCAGGTCAGAGCCACACGAATAAATGGGCTATGATTGAGAGAATTAGAACAGAAATTTACGGGATGACACGATATACGTACCTAGCTAGCGTGAACGGCCACAACCGGGATCCGTCGCGTGCCCTCCGAGCCCACACATTCTTCAAAGACGCGCTGGAGGAGATCAACCTCGCGCTCCGCATTGAGTATGATCTGGCAAATTGTCAGCACGATGCCAAAATGAGCGAGAAGAATTGAGATAAAGGTACGCACATCCTATAGCATACGAGTAAGAATTCCGTGGCCACGAATTGCTTGAGCGAGGCGGAAGGGTGTCCGATTTATATGCGGCCAGCAGGTACGTCTAGTGAGACAGGAAGGGCGCGGCGACAGCAGAATGCGGGACCAAGGGCAGAGGTGATGAGGGGCAGAGGCAAGTCCGGCAAGCGAGGCGTGTGGCCGCGTGGCGCCAGACTACAGCAAAGGCGCTTGCTCAGATCTCAGACCATCAAGTTAATGAGAGCAAGAGCGAAACCACTCACATTACGCGGGCAGGAACCCATTGTCCTCGCGTTAACTCTAGGCGGCACTTGCAGTCTGAGCCAGCAGTGAACCCGCCGTGGGCTCTCCGCGCCATCTCTCGCTTTAGCAGTTCGCTCCGTCGCTTCTTCGGAGGGTACAACCTCCGTGGTAGTACTGAGCAAGAATACAATGAGTATATGCTTGCTACCTGCCTGCGTGTTTCATCACATCCCACTCAGACCATGGATTGTGGCACATATGCGTAGACCACGGGTCAAGTTGATTCAGATACACCTTACTTCTGCGTGTAGCGTAAGCCAACTTACGCACAGCTGTTCACCGCACGTCAACCGCGTTCATTTCGACGTGAGTACAAGGATAGTTTGGTTACAAGGCATACTGTACATGCATTCGGCGCTGTAAGAATCAAGAAGACATTGTCGGACCGTCAACGTCCGAGCTCTACCTTAGAACCTACGACCTCCTCTTCTTCGGCTTCGGCTTAGGTCCCGGCGAGCTTGTCGACTTGCGCTTCGTAGGGCCCTTCTTCGCCTTGCCGCCTCCGCCGCCGCTGCCGCCCTTCTTCAAGAGGCGCGCCCCTTCCTCTTCTTCGTCGTCGTCGATCTCGATGACGTCTCCGCTCATCAGGCGCCTAATCGCCTCCGTAGCCCTCGCCGCAAGGTCGGCATTGCGTTGCATTAGCACATCGAGGAGCGTACTCGAGGCTGTTGTGATCGGCGCAGGTCCGGGCATCGCCTCAGCGTCGCGCGCGGCTCCGATGGTCGCGCGCATGGCGCGGAAGGCCTCCGCAACGTCCAGCATGATCACTCGGAAGTCTTCACACGCGTCTGGATTCACGGCGTTCGCCTGGTAAATTGCGCGGACGACGCCAATGAGCCCATAACGTCCGTTCATCTTGTGCACTTCGTTGTACGGGAGCTGCCGGATGCCGCGCCAGGCCTGCGCAACGAGAATTGTGTAATTCGCTTCCGGTACTGACGTATATATCTTCGTCGCCAGTCGCGACTTCGAAGCCCATTGGCGGGCGGACGTGATCTCCAAAGGGGCGCGCTCGCCGACCTGTCCTCCCGTGAGTCGCGCAGAATACGGAATGCATGGCGATCTTACCTGGTCAAATGCGACGACTTCGAAGCCCACTAGCTCAGTAATCATCTGCGTAGCTGCTTCGACGTCCACGCCCTTCCTGGTCGGCGAATCCGACCATACCAGGCCGGCCCAACGAAAGACGCGATCCATGAACGCTCCGACCGGCATACGCTCTTCGACCTCGCTATTCATCGGTGCCATGTTCGTTTCGGCATGTTCGACGTCCTCTCCGACGAGGTCCTCCACTTCATCGTTCTCGTCGGACACCGCGCTGCCAGACGCATCGTCGTCATTCTCGCCTGTATCCGCGCTGCCTCGGGCACCATCGAACGCCGCTTGCATCACTTCGTCGTTAGGCGAGGTGGTAGGCTTAGTCGCGTCGTCATCGAGCGTGGCGACAGGCGATGGCGCGTCCTTAACACAACACTATCAGTGGCATGATCGAATTGTGCTCACGGTTGGAGAGATCTCACTTCGTCGTTGCTCGTCGAGCGCTTGTCTTCGGCGACGGGCGCGGCTTCGACGACTGGTGCGGCTTCGGCCACAGGTATGGCTTCGACGATGGGCTCGGCTTCAGCGACGAGCGCGGCTTCGGCAACTGGTGCGGCTTCGGCAACTGGTATGGCTTTGACGATGGGCTCGGCTTCAGCGATGGGCGCGGCGTCGGCGATGGGCGCGTTCTGCGCGGATGGGACCTGCTGGCGTATGCACCTCATAGTTAATGCGAATGACCTTCAGAACCCCGAGCGACAAACCTGGGCCAATAAGAAAGCCAACCGCTTTTCAGCGACTTCCACCTGTGCTCGCGCGATCGCGACCTGGATGTTCTATCCAAGTTTGTAAGATGTCAATCGCGGTAGGTCTGCGCCGCGCTCACCTCGTCCATGATCCTTGACGTCTACGGTAAGGGTCGTATGGTGGTGGGTTTGATCTGCGAGTGCTCGGACGAGGTGGACCTTATATCCCAGCAACCTACGCGCTGCTGTACGGATCGTCGCGACCGAATGAACTTGACCGCCATCTATGAACAGTCCTGTGACAGCAACGTGTAATAAGGTTAGCGCCACTGTCTCTGATTTCAAATAAGTGTTCACGACATATGCGCCCTTATTCCGCGCGCGAGAGCATGCCGCAGTTATAGATGGCAGTAAGCACGTACGCGGCGAGGTCACCAGCACACGCCGACGTTCAGGCAGGCCCCGTACGGAAAGGAAGCGTCGAGAGGGAGCCGCGAGTTGGAGAGTATAGAAGTCGCGCTACAGGGTCGCTTAGAGGCACACTCGAACTTATCGAACTGGCTTGAGCCCATACCTAATGAAGTCTAAGTCATCTGCTTACGATGCTCTGCACCGCGCTGTCTTCGGTGTTCTGGCGGGACTCGTCCGGATGGCAAACAACCAGCGCCTATCAGCGCCGCTGCATACACACACGTCATCCGAGCCACTGGAGGCCGGGCTTAACGGAACCCTATTTTGTCATTGATCGTAGGCACCTGCCGCGGCCACGAAGCAATTCTTCGTATGTTACATGCGCGTCTGCGTACGAGTCCTTCCTAAGCTCCGCGCATTTTCGCGAACGCTGGGTGGCGTCAACGGCTTGTTGCGCCCGAGCTGCTGCGACTAGCCGTGCTCGCTTGGAAGGCATCGCGGAAATCTTCCTCCTGTCTCGATCGTCAGATATAGCCAATGCAACTGCACAGACACCGCATACCTCGCCAAAGCCCGAGAAGCGTAGTATGCCTTCGAACCTTGCTTTGAGTGCATCTGTTCCCGTCGGGATCTGCGCTCACATTGATATGAGCAGGCGCGATTGTGATTTCCGCACACAGCCGGAAGCGCGCCGACTTGAAGTACGGCAGAACTGGGAGTCCCCTCATGATAGATCCTGCCTACCAATAAATAGCCGTGATAGACATCGGATGTGCCCAGGGTGGAACAGGTGAAGGCAGGTGAGAGATCGAGTCCGAGCGCTGATTCGCGGCGCCTGGATTCGCGCGCTTGCTCGCAGTCGGCAATCTCCGAGCGTCCGCGTTTGAATCCTATCTAACGCTAAAGAACATGCATGTCCGCGTTATTCACAATACCTACTCTCTACTTCCATGTGCATGCTTCTATACATGGACATAATCTGTGACACTATGTATCTTCGTGCGTCTACCCATCTTCTTTAGTTTAGCTGCAACTCCGCAATGCGTCTCCCCCGGCGCCCGACTTCGCGTTCGCGCCCTCCCTCTTTCTCTGCCACCTCATGCTCTTCGGTCTATATGCTCCCGCATGTACAGTTGGTACGCATGACCGCTGAGCGAAGTAGTGCAGCGCTGGCCTCTCAGTCCCATCCGAGGGCCCCGCGCTCGTGCCTTCCCTGACCGCATTTTCCTCCGCTATGTTCTTCTCCTGCTCCAATCGGACTCGTGACACCAAAGCCATATCCGCCGCCGACTGGTTTCGATCCCTGCAAAGATGTGCGTGAGTACCTCGGGTGCAAAAATATGGAGCACCAACGTTGCAGCGGGACATGCGAGTGACGATAAAGTTAGCGACGACGACGACGACACCGGAACCGAGGACAAGATGACGCGGGTAGAGCCGATCCATTTGGAGCAAGACTTATCCGACAGCGAGGAGGACGAAGAGCGCGTGCGTTGACTGATGTTGGGAATGAAGATCGAAGACGGCAGGTAATGAACAGACGGTGCTCGTGGACATGGCTGGGCTCACGCCACTTTGCAGACAATGCCTGAAACGATAGCCAGGATGTCAAAGCGAGCCGTGAGGAGGTGTACGAAGTTCTTCTGGCGTTCAGAAAAGAACGAGATCGGTTTATGCCAGGTTTCCTGCCGATGTTAGTGACAGAGCTGCGCGACCCGCGAGGAGGACTCGCACAAGACGCTTCTGAACATGTCATCGGGCATTTCTCTATTCTGGCGAACAAGGATCGGCGCCCTCACCATCTGTGAGTCGCGCGTACGGTCAACGAATATGGAGGCCTCGCTATAGGAACTGCAGCGAGCATTGCGCCTATGAGTCGCTTTCAAAGAAAGTTCAAAATCGCTCATTGGATCGGCCAAAGGATGAACACCAGGGGGAGGAGCGCACAAGCGGCCGTGGTTGAGCAGGTAAGGATCGCCGCCTCTGCGTATCGCAGTCACAGAGATGCATCCGCTGTTCTCTGTTCTTCGAGGCTGGGAGGAATCTCGCAAACCTCTCTCCGAGCGACATGATGACGCGGATAAACGGCGGTATGGCGGTCCAAACGTGTCAAAAATCGAATTAGATCCAGGACGCGGTTTTGATTTACCCTTAACGAGGAGTCGCGGCCCGCCTTCCCCGTGCCTCCCCCGCTCCATCCCGCCTGTCCCGCCCATCCACTTAGCCTTACTGCGTGCTGTACATGCTAGGCTGCCGAACGAAGCCCGTCAAGGCGCAGAGGAAGGACAAGGAGCGGTGTCGCCGCGGCGGCCGGCGCCGCGTGTTCGGCTGACGCGGCCACGTGTTTTGCCGCGTGTGTCGCAGAGCGCGTCGCGCCCGCTCGTCCTCCCGTTCGTGCTTCCGAGTCTCTGCCTCTCCGAAGTATACTATAGTAGCGCCTGCAGCTATGAGAAATCATGAATTGATGCATCTAGCTACTGAGACATGATCT